GCCCTCTTAGAAGAAGAGAGGAGGCGGCGCATGCAGGACCTTCCCTCAAGACAATGCGCAGTGGAGGAAAGGTGATTCACCTCAATAACTGGGATATACAGAGCTAATGAATTGTTGAACACTACATCAGAAGCTAATGATGTACTATATGCTGGCTAACTGAACATAATTTAAAAAAAATAAAAACAAAAACAAAAAAACAAAACAAAAAAGAACTCAGAGTGTTCAGAAAGTGAGAGTGAAGAGACAAATGAATTCTACAAAATGGAAGATGAAATAAAGGGTAATGGAATGCAGAATAATGCCTATCTTTCCTCAAAGCTAAACCGTTACAGAATATTTAAAAAACAAACCAAGAAAGTCACCTTATTTTCAAAATGGCTAAAAAACAAAGTGTTATTTTTCCTGTCTTTCCTATATCATTTAAATCTACTCCTAGGTAACCAAATGGTAGATGGCAGTAAGTTTCCTTCTAAGTAAATATTTTGGCTAAAAAAGTGAAGAGGGAATGGCAGATTTAGAATCACCATTTTGCAATCCCTAATGAAGAAATGGATGTATGCACTGGGCATGGCTGCCCTTGCGTGTCCCGATCTCGTGACTTTCTCATGTGATCAGGTAAAACATCAGTAGTATCAAGTTCAGCAGTGTTTCTTTCCCCTTGTAACTAACATATTTCTTTGATCATAACTTCTTTGATAACTATGATTACGGTAACTCTGATAACTAAAGTATCTTAAGTCTATTCAATACCCTGTGAAATAACAAATTAGGAATGCTAAAAATTACATCTAGTACTATAACGCCCATGTGATTTTCTTTTCAAATTAAAGGTCTGTGTATTCATCAAAATGGTTAGGTTTAGGGGCACCTGGGTGGCAGTTGGTTAAGTGTCTGACTCTTGGTTTTGGCTCAGGTTGTGATCTTGGGGTCCTGAGACTGAGCCCCACACAGGGCTCTGTGCCGAGTGCGGAGTCTGCTAATATCTCTTCCCTCTCCCCCTGCCCCTCCCCACCTCGTGCACTCTCTCTCTCTAAAATAAATAAAATCTTTTTTTTTTAAGATTTTATGTATTCATTTGACAGAGAGAGAGATCACAAGTCCGCAGAGAGGCAGGCAGAGAGGGGGAAGCAGGCTCCCTGCTGAGCAGAGAGCCCGATGCAGGGCTTGATCCCAGGACCCTGAGACCATGACCTGAGCCGAAGGCAGAGGCTTAACCCACTAGGCCACCCAAGCACCCCAATAAATAAAATCTTTTTAAAAAAATGGTTCTGTTTAAGGCATCAAAGAGTAATGACAGATAGGGATTATAAACCTTTGGAATCTCCTCCATAAAGATAGAAAGATAAATGGGGGGAAACTTGGTTTTAGAAAAATTTGTCAGTCCATAATCTAGATGAAATAATGACAGTTTTTCAAGACTCCTGTCCCCAAAAACCAGATTAAGTAATTGAGGCAAAGATTTTTCACAGATGCTCGAACCCTGGATGAGAGGTTCTTGGGGAACAAGACATACACAAGGTCCCAAATTACTATTTCACCGATTATTTATTAATTGTAAAAAGGAAAACTGTACTCATACAATAGAAAGTTCTGGCAGCCACTACCTGTTAACCAAGCAATCATACTGAACAACAGCAATCAATGAGACAACCTAACATTTTATGGCTCCTGATGTGATGCAGTTTTAAGTACCTATCACTACATTTGTAGAATGCTTCTATTATAGACCGAATCTATACAGGAGAAAATAAGGCAATCTGATAATAGGTGAATCTCCATGATTATGTTGGATGTTTTGTATTGTTTGTTCAGTTTTTCTCTCAGTTTGAAAGTTTCCAAAATAAAAAGCTGGTGAGAATATAAGTTATGTTTGTAACATTTCCATATAAATACAGAAAACAAAAAGGGTGGTGTAAGTCTTGGGTTGAAATCAATCCATCTCTCCAAAAGTAAAAAAGCCCAGGCAGAGTTGAACCAGAATTCTGCCTGGTCTTCACTGACCCAGAGCCATATCCTCTGTGACCTCTATTTTGTCACAGAGATGAACAATATAGCTTTTTCCTGTCTCCGCTAGGTCAAGACACTGAAAAGAAGCAAAAACACAAAGTACAACTGACAATGCACGTCTACCAGCTCCAGAAATAAATTCGAGATCTGGAAGCAAACTCTAAATTTTCAAAACTTGATTTATCTTTAAAAGAAAAAACATGTTAAAGTTTCTTTTACTTTTTCAATCAGGAAATAAAACAAACCCTGCTGAAATTTGATTCAAAAACTAACGAAGGGTATGTTCATATTCTTCAATATGACTTTAAGGATCTACAATAAAATAAACGAAGTATAGGTTTAAGTAAGCATTTATTGCACATGAAGGAATCTAAATTTGTTTTGAAATCATGAGCTAAATTCTAAGTTCCATGAAGTGTCACACCATTTTTGTTTTCTTTTAATTGAAATAGCAAGTCAAAATTTAGTTAATATATACTTGGATTTTATGTGTTTGATAAAAAAACATTTAACCAATTATAAATTCCAGTGGAAGATTATACACAACATAGTCTGTTTTTCAAAAATAATCTACTTGTTCAGATCATCTTTAACATTCTTGAAATGTCTGCACTCAAAGGAATGACAAAATATAGGGGAGCTCTGAGTTATACTTATGTGTACTCCTGAAAGAGGCTTAACACTCAATGCAAAAGACATAATTATGAAAAATGATCACCCTTTCATCTTTATTTTGTACAAATGGTAGGACTGAAAAGCTCTGTTCATAGTGAAAGCTATCCCACAGTGTGTATGCCAAATGGAGCTTACTTTTTTGCCAGCCCCCCAACACTTCCAGACAATAAAATCTACAAATTCCTTTACTCTCATACGTACTGGAAGGCTTAATACAGAATTAGATTGCACCCTCATTAGGTATGTTTCTATCCTTTAGTGTGAATTTTGTCATTTTAATCTTAATAAAATGAATTTTAACCAGCCACCAATCTATGAAGTTCCTCATGAACCCAAAGCTGTTTTGCATTCAAAACAGAAACAAGGAAAATAGTAAACTAATTCTTCAATAAAACCACAGCATCTGAAAGAAAAAAAATGTTTAGAGTTTGACACCTAGGCAAGTAACTCAGATCTGTAGCTCTTACAAAGGAACCCAAATAACACCAAGTTCAAGCACACAAAGACTGAAGAGATTAAGAAATAGCAAACTTTTCAGCACAGAAATTAACTGATGCTAATGACTATTGCTAATATAGAGGCAAAAGCAAGCAAAGAGGAAGGCAAGCATAAGAATCAAAGGTTCTGAGGCCTGGAAAGCTTTTCAAAAGTACACTTCCTGGGATCCACCCCAGACCACTCCTGTTGGAATTTCCAGGATTCAGACCCAATACCAAAATTTTTTCACAAGATTCCCAGGTGATTTTTTATGAATCCAGCGGTAAGGGTCACTGGTATAAATACAAAGAAGGTATAAAAGAGGAAAAGGAAAGAAAAAGCAAAAAGACCTTCAGAAAGCACTAATCACAATTACCAACTTCTGTTTAAAGGACCAGCTTTTCCATTTAAAGCATGCTCATTAATTTCACAGTACCCTCTACTGGTCAGGAAGGATATGTAGTATTCTTAAAACTATGGTACAGGAGAAAATTTCCCACTTTATTGATTAGTTGAAAGAATAGATCTAGAAGCAATTAGTGAATTTTCATTACTTAGTTTCTCATAACAAGTGTAAATGGTTTGGCAAATACTGTAGTAGCAAAAATGTTTTAAACTTAATCTCAATACTTAGAACCAATTTTTAAAAATGTGTCCATGTGATTTATTTCAAGGTTTGTCATCCTTGACACTACTGACATTTTGAAGCAAATGATTTTTGGTTGCACGGAGCAAACTCTGAAAATATCTACTGACATTTTGAAGCAAATGATTTTTGTTTGCATGGAGCAAACTCTGAATATTCAGTAATAAATTTCTTGACATAGAAGGCTGTTTCAATATAAATTATGAGTTTCTAAAATGATCTTCCTTTAGTACTTTTGTTACATGGCCATAACTCTTTGTCTTTTCTGTTGTAGGATGTTTTGCAGCATCCCTGGCCTCTATTAATGTGAGTAGCAGCCCTTCTTCAAAGTTGTGAAAACCAAAAACATCTGTACATATTGTTAGATGCCCCCCACCAACCCCCAAAAGGGGAGAGGCAATATGGCCTTCAGCTGCAAATCAGTGAACTACCCAATTCAGATGTTCCCCAAAAACTGATAATCAAAAGATATTTTTTAATTAGTGAAAGATGACTCACTTACTAATTAAATCTAAAATTCATGATTTTTGTATACCAGGTTCATAAAGAGTATCTCATGAGAACTATAGTGAAGATTTATTTTTAAATAATTATGGAATTTGTGTGTACATGAATATTCTAATTTTCTTCAATCTAATCATCTTGTGATATATAAATCTATGCAGTACAACAGCTTAATCGCTGGTTACTTTAATTTTTCACTTTAAAGATAAGACCTAAATCAAAACCTTTGAACTTATTATACTTTTCAACCTGAAAGAACCAAAGAATAGCTACAATTCTAGAAGAGCAACAATAAATCCAATATTATTCTTATGAGTATCAATAGGCTATACTGAAACAAGGTGAAATATAAATATCTTACTTTGTACTTAATTTGAAGTGTTGCCACTGAAATCAATTACAGATGTTTATTCTGAAAGATGCTACTATGAAGGTTGCAGACTCAAATGCTGATAATGGTTATTCAAAATTAAATTTATGGAACACCCAGAAAACAGGCTGCATTGGAACCTGTAGACAGTTTTAAAATACTCTTTACCAACAATTTTTTTTAAAGACACAGAAGGCTGTTGTTTTCTATAATTGGGAGTTTTAAAATCATCTCCCTTTAGTGCTTTCCATTGTCACATGGCCATAAACCAAAGACCCAAATAATTTCAAATGATCACAGATAATATTTAGGCAAAAATTCTCATGTGTCAGTATTTTTAATGTTGTGTACATCAAGTTATAGTAAAAAGATGACTATAAACAACATGCAGCCCCTCTATTTTCATGAACAGCACAACAGATTACAATAAACCGAGTTTATATTCCACCATCAAGTGTGGTTCTCCCATTAGTTCACTTTGTGACGGGTCTGAAAACAAACAAAAACAAACATATTAAAGATTCTCAAAAAAAAAAAAAAAAAGATAAATTCAATGATACTACCCACATGAAAATCTAGAATAGGCAAAACTGACAGAAAAGAGACTAGTGGCTGCCTAGTGGGGCCAAAGGTAGGGAAGTGACTGCAAAGGGACCAAGGAAACTTTCTGGGGTGATAAGCATTTTATATCTTTACTGGGGGGACACTTACACAGCAGTACACATTTGTTAATATTCACAGAACCGTACACTTAAAATGAGTACATTCTATTATATGTCAATTATATCTCAATACAGTTGTTAAAAAAAAAAAAGCCAACAACAGATTGAAAAAATTCTCCTTTTTCAAAATTCAAGCCTTCCAGTGGCTTCCCAGATGACTCTAGGAAACAATCTCTAATTAAAAGATTGAGCAAGTCTCTTAATCTAGTTTGCAAAAGCATTTTATTTCTATTGTTTTGTGCTCTGTTACATATTATATACACATACACAAACATAAATCAGAATTCAAGACAAAGAAAATCTTTAAAATCTTCACTATCTTGTTTTTAGAGAGCAATCAGACAAAATCTTATTCTAACTGAACAGTACACATAAGGGAGCTTTTAAAATTAATGGTAATAGTAGGCTTCCAAAAAACAAAAAAAGCCTTTTTCTGTTTCTGCCCCCTATTCGGATAAAAACCCAATGAACTGTAAAATTAGTTTGTAAAAATAAATAACCATCCATATTAAAAATTACAGGTCTGGATGATTCCTCACTGATCTCCTCAGAGACTAAAGATTCTTATGTCACATCAGTTCAGCAATCTATACACTCACTCTCTACACTCATCACACAACAAAGTAGCCTTAGCAACAACTACTGCTGCTATCCTCATTAATAGCAGAGTAACTGCTATATAAAAGGCATTCAAAATCTAAACTTATTTAAAAAAAATGTCTCTACTTATTCTACAAAGAATAGGCAAAGATATTTGCTTATAGCACTGTTTTGTGTTAAGTGAAAAAAGACAGGCACCTGAGTGGCTCAGTTGGTTGAGCGTCCAATTCTTGATCCAGTTCAGGTCATGATCTCAGGGTCATGAGACTGAGCCCCGAGTCTGTCCCGAGTCCGTCTCCGCACAGAGCCTGCTTAAGATTCTTTCTCTCCCTCTCCCTCCCCCAACCCCACTCACACACTCCTCTTTCAAAAATTAAAAAAAAAAAAAAAAAGTGAAAAAAGCGTCCAGCAATAAATGCACTGATGTATCATACATACTTTAAGATACACACAGTACGCCAGTCGTGTTAAAAAAAGGGGGGGGGCGCCTGGGTGGCTCAGTGGGTTAAAGCCTCTGCTTTCGGCTCAGGTCATGATCCCAGGGTCCTGGGATCGAGCCCCGCATCCGGCTCTCTGCTCAGCAGGGAGCCTGCTTCCTCCTCTCTCTCTGCCTGCCTCTCTGCCTACTTGTGATCTCTGTCTGTCAAATAAATAAAATCTTAAAAAAAAAAAAAAAAAACAACCACTAAGCAATGCCGAATATTTCTGACTATATATATTAGTATGAAAACACACAGAAAAATGTCTGGAAGGAAATATACTAAATGAAAACAGCAAGTAACTGAAGAATAGGGAAGAGAAATGGGTGTGGGAGGAATCACGGAAGACCCTAGTTTCAGATGTAATGTTTTAAAGTGTTAAACAAAGAATACATTAATTTTTACAACTTTCTTTTAAACTCTGCCTTAAGCTCTGACTTTAATGAAGTGCATGCTTATTAAATAAATCACTTACACCTGAAAACAACATACCACATCAGCAAGGTAATGGCCTGTGGTTCCAGCACCTGCTCTGCTGCTATCTTTCTGTGAGAGACCAAGAGGGAGGACTGAGCCTCTCCATCAGTCTGTTTAACCACCTTAAAGTGAGGGAACTCAAGTAAACAGAAGACCCTTTTCAGCATTAAATGTCTAGTTTTGACTTTACTATTGTCCCTTCTCCTCCTTATAAAATGTGCAGATTTTTCCTGGTCAAGTACTTCCCTGATGAGTAAGCAAAACCCTATCACTTCCAACACTTACCTCAAAACCCTTCAGCCATATGGGCCTTCTTAACACACTCTTATGTGTGTTGGGAGACAATTCTCTATGGGTCTCTCAAAATTCTGTCTTAGATACACTGCCTGCCTTTGTTCTAGACTCTCTCTCCAAAGTTGCTTCTAAAGTGAACACCCTAAGAAGACAAAGATCATGACTCTTCTGGAAGACAAAGATCATGACTCTTCTGGAGCAGAACAGAAACACTTAATGCCTATTATAAAAGATTCATATGGGGACACCTGGGTGGCTCAGCAGGTTAAGCCTCTGCCTTCGGCTCAGGTCGTGATCTCAGGGTCCTGGGATCGAGCCCCACATCGGGCTCTCTGCTCAGCAGGGAGCCTGCTTCTCCCTCTCTCTCTGCCTGCCTCTCTGCCTCCTTGTGATCTGTCTCTCTGTCAGATAGATAAATAAAATCTTTAAAAAAAAAAAAGAAAAAAAAAAAGATTCATATGTCCTGATCTGGAGGTTCCTCTACCTGTAATAAAATGCACTGTATATGTGGTATCACCTGACCCTCTTCTTGCTACTCTTTGGGAGCTGGAGCTCAGGGAACCAACAGGAAAGCTGATACCCCAGCTACTGTTGCTGCTTTGAGTAATAAACTGTCCTTTGACTCTAGGAGTCTTGTCTTCTGCCAGGATCTATGAAACCAAGGCAAGCTAACCAGTTAGCTTATAGATTAGAAAACATCTTAAAACACTTCAGAGTTCTTCAGCTGTTCTCTCAGGTTACAGACCTTTAACATATTGATTGCTTCTTCTGCCTAAAATAGTCTTCCCTTTACTTTCTAATTAACTAATTCACACATATTTTAGGAAATCAAGTTATCTGTCATATTCGCAGAAGTGCCTGTCTCTCCCATCCAACAACAAACTATACCACTATCCCTTTTTATTCCTAGAATTTATCAAAATTCATAATTATATGTTTGCATTTATCTGTTTAGTGTTTACCTCCCCATGTAGAAAGCACAGTTTGTCTTGTCACGATTGTATATTTAGAGCTTAGTCCAGTGCCTGACACATAATAAATGCTTGACTGAATAAATACTTAACAAGCACCTCTCACTTTCTTTATACAAAATTACACGAGTTGATTTTTTTTTTTTTTAAAGATTTTATTTATTTATCAGAGAGAGAGAGGAAGAGAGAGCGAGCACAGGCATACAGAATGGCAGGCAGAGGCAGAGGGAGAAGCAGGCTCCCTGCCGAGCAAGGAGCCCGATGTGGGACTCAATCCCAGGACTCTGGGATCATGACCTGAGCCGAAGGCAGCTGCTTAACCAACTGAGCCACCCAGGCGTCCCCACGAGTTGATTTTTAAATGAATGTATTTTTATAACTAATCTAAAGACAAAAATATAGTGACAAGAACTATCACCTTGCTAATTTAAAATGAAGTGTAAGTTCAATGTAAAAAGTTTAGGAATTCCAGATTTCCCTGCATTCAAAAAGGTCCCTCAGGAACGATTTTGAAAGGGGAGGCTCACCAGACTTCTGCCATGTCCAAGCATTTCCTTACCGGACACCAGCAGCCAAGCAAAGCTACTATAATTTAATCCTGTTGGGTTTTTCTGTTTCTCCTGAACTGGTGGGGCATAATGAACAGATGCAATACTTAACAGAGTTGTATTTGTTTATCTTCCCCAGAACCAGAAAAAAACAGAGGATGCTGTTTGGATTGTTCATACTTAAAAATTATTTATCTCATATATAATAAAATTATTCAAGGAATTTTGTTAAAAATGACAGATTCTGGGAGCCTGGGTGGCTCAGTGGGTTAAGCCTCTGCCTTCAGCTCAGGTCATGGTCTCAGGGTCCTGGGATTGAGCCCCGCATCGGGCTCTCTGCTCAGCGGAGAGCCTGTTTCCCCCTCTCTCTGCCTGCCTCTCTGCCTACGTGTGATCTCTCTCTCTCTCTCTCTGTCAAATAAATAAATAAAATCTTTTTTAAAAAATTTTTTTAAAAAAATGACAGATTCTTCTTTCCTGTTCACCAACTACAGAAGCACAAAAACTCTCTGAGGGTGGGAGCTATTTTTTAAAGAAAACGTTTCTGACTTTTCCTAGTCATTTTAAAAACTCATCATATCCCATAAATATTTTGAATACTGAAACAAAAATCATTGTTTAAGCTACCCTTGTAATACTAAATTAGATTCACACATCAGACTATAATTGTAGGACATGAAATGACTGACCATCAACTGACTGATAATGACTACAACCTCGAAACTCCATAAATTTCACCTTTAAAACCAGTTAAAGAACAGTTATTACCATTGAATATTGTCTTACAGCAATGAATAAACATAAGCGAATCAATCCAATGAGCTATAAGCTCCATAAGAATGAGGATGCTATAGGTTTTGTTTGCTTCCATTGCCTTGTACGTTATTAGGGCTCCATAAAAGGTGCTGAATGACACTTACCATTAAGAATATCTTCAAATCCAATAGTCTCATCATTACCCCTCAAAATATCCAGCGAAAGGTTTGAGCTTGGAAGAAATGGAAGACGCTGAACCTTCACGAAAAATATGAAAGGGCAAAATAAGAGAAAACCAAGCGGAGAAAGAAAACAATATATAATCTAATTTCATGCTCCTCGTTCTTTACGTGTAAAATTCACAAAGCTACAAATAAAACACCAATATAACCAGTGGGAAAAACACCAATTCATATTTTATTTTACTTTATTTTATTTATTTTTTTTTTAAGATTTTATTTATTTATTTGACAGAGAGAGATCACAAGCAGGCAGAGAGGCAGGCAGAGAGAGGAGGTAGCAGGCTCCCTGCTGAGCAGAGAGCCTGATGCAGGGCTCGATCCCAGGACACTGAGATCATGACCTGAGCCGAAGGCAGCGGCTTAACCCACTGAGCCACCCAGGCGCCCCAAAACACCAATTCATATTTTAGACCCAAATCAATTTTTTAAAATTCCTTAAAACTTTATTCGAAATATATAAAGACACTGAAAATTAGTTTATTAACACTTAATAATCCCATCAACTTTGCATGTATCTTGAGGCTTGGCTTCTGTCCCAAGAAAACCACAGTATACACGTGATGAAATGCAAGACCCCAGATCTAACGTCATATCTATTTCCAAATAAAAGTGGGAAAATCAAACTCCTGAAGAAATTCCAACTCGGTAAGAGCATTATTCTACTTAGTAAACTGATCACTTCACTTTGTATGTTGTTTTGTATTGCTCATTATAAAAAATATAAGTTATGATCCTTAAAACAGTTCAGCTAACCAAAAAGGAAGACCAAAGTCACTTGTGGGGCCTTTAAAAAACACAATACCATTCTGAACTAGCGTTATCTACCTTTCTCAAGTGTTAAATATATACAGTGCAGACTGAAATGTAAGTACACAGTGGAACAAGCACGGGCTGTGTAGTCAGAGACCTGGAATCAAACTGTTCTACTACTTACAATACTAGTTACCTGATTTGTCTCACCATCAGCTTCCTCACCTGTGAAACAGGGTAATACCACCTTCCTCTCAAACATGCCAGATGATATGGTGTAAAAGATGTTTATAGTATAGTCACTGGCATATACTTGGTATTCAATAAACTTTTATAGAGCCAAACCAAATTTTCAGTTACTGTGTTGTTAGTTGTCTAACAGTCATAATCAGAAACAATGCAGATTACTTTGGATATTGACAAAAGAATGCCAAGAGTAATAGGCGGTCCATACTACAGGATACTAGTATTCTAAAATAATCATAACTCTGAAATCTAAGGGTGCTGTTAGGATAATTTCCCCCAAGAAAATATATCCAGACTAAAAATATTTTTAATTACTAATGGCCTATAGTGTTTGGGATGAAAAAAATTCTCTAGGTTGTCAAAATTAGAAAAATATATCTATTATTTTAAATATACATATATATTTTTATTTATATTTACTTATAAATAAATAAATAAATATAAATATAAATATGTATATATATATATATATATATATATATATATATATATATATATATATTTCTTTCTTTCTTTCTTTCTTCCAAAGGAAAGTAGGGATGACAGAGGAAGAAACAAAAATGGAGCTTTTAAGTTAAACCAGAGAGTAAGGGCCTGGCAGGTAGAGTTTGATCAGATATAGCCCTGAGAAAGGACCAAAAGCAGGGATGAGCAGACAGCTGTTATACATCCCCATAAGCAAGAACTGTAGTAGTACAGGGATAAGGGGAAAAAGGGAGGAAGCAGAATTTTGGAGGGAGCAGAGCAAAGATTTCTGAATTAAATGGGATTAAAATTTTAGGGCTGATATATGAGCCATATGTAGCTGGAATGTGAGCAGCAGGAAAATCAAAGCGAAGCTAGCGATTCTGTGTCACTTTGTGTTATTTCAATCTTCAGAAGAACCCTAATAACCACACACTGTTGTTATGGTTAACTCCATCTCACATTAAAAACAAACAAATGGGGGCACCTGGGTGGCTCAGTGGGTTTAAGCCTCTGCCTTCGGCTCAGGTCATGATCTCAGGGTCCTGGGATCAAGCCCCAAATCAGGCTCTCTGCTCAGCAGGGAGCCGCTTCCACTTCTCTCTCTGCCTGTCTCTCTGCCTACTTGTGATCTCTGCCAAATAAATAAAATCTTAAAAACAAACAAACAAACAAATGACCTGAGGCTCAGAAAGGTCTCTAACTTAAAGTTCTTAAGACTAGTAGATGGTGGAGCCAAGATTCACATCTAGATTATTCTGACTTAGAGCCAGACACGCTCTTTTAGAACTTGATCGTTGGAAAAAAGTCTTGAAATAGCTTCCACAATGACTTAGCCAACATAGTTGATGGCATTAGTAGAATTTACTAAAAAAGACACAGTAGTAGGAAGAACACGTATAAAAGCCAAAAGGTGAGAGAAAAACTGAATCAGGACATGCAAGTAGTTTTAGGAGGCTATGAAGTATGGTGGAGAACAAGGAGAGGCCAGTTCATGGACAAAGCCATGTTAAGGAGCTGAATTTTAATTTAAGGGCAAAGTGAGGGGAGTGACATGGTCAAATCTGTGTTTTATAAAGATTATTGTGGCTAGAGCATGTACAATGGTGGGAGGACAGCAGTGATCCAGACGAAACACAGTAGGCAATCAAAACCAATGTAGTAGCAGTGGTGAGAATATGTAATTGACTAGATGGTGGGAAGTATGGGTGGAGGGTAGGAATGTGGTGCAGGGTGAGATAACCACAGCTCATGCTCCAATCTCTGCCTTAGGAAGCGACCTATTCATACATGACACATGTGAGTATGTGAGAAATAGTGAGTTGTTCTGTACTTAGACATGTTTGTAGCTCATGAGAATTAAAACTTGGGGGTCATCGACATATAAGTGATAATTGAAGTTATAGGAATAGACAGGAAATAACAGGATGAAAATAGGACTGGAGATGGGAACTAAAAAAACAGAATTTCAGGGTGCAGAAAAAAGCAAAAGGAATCTATGTGGCAACACCAGACAACAAGGTTTGAGATGAAGGGGATATCAGCAAAGTGTGGTGTCCTAAAAGCCAAGGGAAGGAGTCACTGGTGTAACATACCACAGGGAGATCAAACAAAAGGAGGGCATACAGATATCCACATTATTTAGGAGCAGCTTCACTGGTGTGACGGGAGCCAGAAACCAGTCGGTTGAGTGAAATAGTAGATAAAGGAGTATACAAATGGAGGCAATTTTAAGGCGCTCAACCTGCAAAAGCACACTTAGTGAGAGAGAAGGTGCTATAAAGGGACTGACAGAAGTTTTGTTTTAAGAGACAAAAAAGGTTAGAATGAATGTAAACACTGCTGATGAGTCTGAGCAAGTAGAGAAAGAGGATGAAGCTATCAGCTATAGGAAGAATCCATGAAAAGGGAGTTCCCTGACGTAGTGTGAGATGACAGAATCCAGAGCACAGGTCAAGGCAGGTCTTACACACTTGGAAGGACATTTTTGAAGATCTTATTCCTGAGCAACAGGTGCACTCGGCTACATACAAACTGCCTACGTATAAACATACAACCACATGCATATTCCCAGAGGCATTTCAAATTCAATGTAGCCCTCCCAAAAAGAGAAAACCATGAAAGTAGATGCAGAGAAGTTTTGGCACGGAGCTCATAATCTGAAGTTTTCCACGTAATGTCTTCTTTTTTCTCTATAAAGTAGAAATCGAGGTCATATCCTGGAAAGGGGCAAAGTAGAATGGACTGCAGAGAAGATAAGGGTTATGGGGCTAGTCCTAGAGAAGAATCCTTCCAATCCACAGCAACACACACATGTCATAACTGACATCCATAAACTCACCTGCTGCACTGCCTTGAATTCCATTTGCAATTTTAGTGGAGCAAACAGACCCTGGATGTTTCTTAGTGTAGAAAAATTCATTTTATCTTGGTTGAGCTGAAACTACGAAGGCAAACAATGTAATTTCAAATGTTACACGCAACATTCTGCTTTTAAAACAGCACAAATACGTATGTAGCAAAACACTTAAAGAATTTTAATATCCATAACTGAAATTAAAACAAAGTACTTTTATTAATTTTGTCAATAAATTTTAGAACATAAATGTCTGTTTTATCCAGCGTGCACGTGTACTTTTCACCAATGTTAAATTATCACCTAAAATTTGGATTTACAGAACTGATAAATTAAGGAATGTTTTTCACATTGAAAAAACATATTTACAAAATATTTCAGTGTTTTTTATTAGAATTACCACAAAACTGTAAAACAAAGGAAAGGTATAAATGAGAAACCGTTACATACAAGAGACAAAAGCAGTGAATTTCTAAGTATGCAAGTATGTAATTCAAAAGATTTCACAAAGGAAATAGTCTAACCCATGATACCACCCTGTTAATTAAGTACAATGTTTAAACTCCACTTGTTGGGGTAATAGATTCCCAGGTGGCAGGGAGACCCAAAGCTCTAAAGTTTGTCCAGTTTGTATTGGGTGCTAATAAGCAATTTTTTTTCTAGAATCATACTTCTACTAAACACTAATATTACTTCTAAAAAACTGACTGTAATCTAATGTACTTTAGGCAAAATGAATCAACTTGACCCATGAATCCTAATCTAGTTTCCCAAAATGGGTAGTGGATATGATTTGCAGACTACTACAAAGGTCTGTCCAAGTTAAAGTACTTACAGTAAGATAAAGTGATTTCTGTGATCAATTTTTATTATACTACATTCTCTTGATAAGATTTTAGGTCATGGGCATGGGGAATAATTTTGATCAAAAACCTACTGAGAGATTAGTGCCCACTTAAGACATGACCAGAGGCCATATACATTAAGTCTAAGATAAGGTACCCAGTGACATGTTTTTTAATTACTTTAGCTAGAGTATAAAATTTTAACTCTTATTATGGGTATATAATCTGAAGTTCTCACTGAAGGATTTCTGTTAAATACTGAGCTATCCTCATAAGTAAATATAGTTTTATGTAAAAAATTCAATTTTATAAACTTTGATGAATATGTCCATCTTTTAATATGATGTCAAACTATAATTATCAATCAACATGTATTTAGTTATTAGCAACCACAGGCAAAATGAGGATTTAGCTTGGTGGCAACAAACCACAAAACAGTCTGCCATGGAGGAGGTTATATAATCGAACTGGGAAGACATTACATATAGATCAGGGCTTCTCAACCCTTGGCACTACCGACATGGTGGGCTACACAATTATTTGTTGTGTGGATGGGGACCGTCCTTTACATTGCAGGATGTTTAGCAGTGTCCCTGGCCTCCGTCCGATTGATGCCAGGACCAAAGACCCTTCTCTCCCAATACTACCTGTGACAGTCAGACATTCCAAATGTTCCCTGGAGGAGGTAAAATCATCCCTAGCTGAGAACCACTGGTATAAATAAGGATGGTCATCTTCCATCACCATCACTACTACAGCTCCCGATCATGGAGAGCTACTCTAAGCCAGCATATGCCAAGGCATGGGCTATCATTAACTCCATTTTACAGATAAGGAAACTAAGACTTAAACAGAGATTAAGGAATTTGCCCAAGTTCACTCAGCTGCTAAGTATGGTGTCAAGAATCTAAACTTACATAGTTCAATTACACAACCCATGCCAAAGGACTTATAACAGTTAATAAGTGGCACAGAATTTCAAGCGGCTGCCATTAGCTGGTTAAGTGATTAAGGAGACTACACAGAAGCAGCTGATGTAAACTGAGTCTCAAATGATCTATGCAATTTTTAAACTCTTCATCACCATTTGGGCCAGTGTCACTCAGATTTGTCAATGTCTCTCTTAACATGTATTGCTCAGAACTGAATCAATATTCCAAAACTAATGGCCAGGCTAATACTTGAGAAAGTGAGAATGTAATCTCCCTTGATTTGAGCCCCATATTATTAGTAACAACACTGCACCATCTTCCTGAAGTAGTAAGATACCTCTTTCTTCCTGCTCTGAACGTATATTTAGAAAGTCTTTGTCTTTAGAACATGTATACAGGATATACCCTCTTTGGGGGTGACCCTTCCCTATCTATTAACCTGGTTGATACTGGTCCACAGCCATTCAAATGTCTACTCCTCTACAAAGCCTCCCAGCAGCCCTCTGCACAGATGGCTGCTCCATCTTGGTCCTCTATACCATTTTATGAAGCCCCTATCCACTGCTTGTCCTCCCATTAAATTTTCAGCCCCTCAAGGACGGGGATTATGTCATACTCATCTGTGTACCTACTGTGCCTAGCAAGAGAATACGACCCTCAGTAACTTGGAGAAAGAGGTCAAGGCTAGAGATTGGACTCTGTCAATAGCAAAAATGGCAGAGGAAAATTATAAAGGAAAACAGGGTCATCAAATGAGGAAATATTATGAGAGGAATGGAAAGGGGGATTGGTCTTTAGAAATGTCCATACAGGGGCATACTGACTGGCTCAGTTGGTAGAGCATGGGACTCTTAATCTCAAGGTCTTGAGTTTAATCCCCATGTTGGGAGTAGAGCCTAGTTAAAATAGTCCATAAAAAAGACAAAAAAAGAATGTGTAGAAAAGAAGCTTTAGTGAAGCAGTTTAATGATAATTCAAAGCCTGCTCTACAAGGATATTGAAAGTAAGTCCTCATATTCTTCATGGTCAAATGCTCAACATTAAAATTATCTTAATAAATGAAACTATGTATTACTAAAAGTATATTCTTCTACTAGAGGATAAAAATAGAAACATGGATAACATACATTTTTTTCTGATAATTCAAGAGGATGACTGGGCAAAAGTTCATTTTTCACACAAGGTAGGCTGAAAAAAAAATTTAAAAATGAGATTATAAATCACTCAATTGCATCTATCAACAGGTATAACTGGTATATCAATAGGTATAAAGGAATGGCACAAGGGAGTTTTTAGGAACAATGACGCTTCTGTATCTTGATTATGGCAATGGTTGCAGGGATTGATATATTTATTAAAATTCATATTACTGTGAATTATAACATAATGAGTTATATAACACTTTTAAAAAGGTCAAATTTACTATATATGATAAATGTTTTAAAACGTATCAGTTAGGGACACGTGAGTGGCTCAGTTGATTAAGTGTTTGCCTTCAGCTTAGGTCAGGATCCCAGAGTACTGGGATCAAGTCCAGAAACGGGATCCTTGCTCAGCAGGGAGCCTGCATCTCCCTCTTCTTGTGCTCTTTCTCTGACAAATAAATAAAATCTTTTTAAAAAGCAGCAATTATAGATACTAGTGGTCAATTCAGTAGGGTGAACGCTTCGAAAAACAGTGTTAAATGATGCCCTATGTCTGGAAGAAATTTAACAAAGTATGTTTAAAATTACTATTATTTGATGACATGCTTCCTATATTATATAAAAAAAATCCAGGGGCACCTGGATGGCTCAGTCAGTTGAGTGTCCAATTCTTGGTTTTAGCTCAGGTCATGATCTCGGGGTCGTGGGATTGTGCCCCGCATCAGGCTCCACACTCAGTGAGGCGTCTACCTGAAGATTTGCTCCCATCCTCTGTCCCTCCCCACACTCACATGCCCCACCCTCGAATAAATAAATGAATCTTTTTTTTTAATTTATTTTTATTTATTTGTCAGAGAGAGAGAGAGAGAGCGAGTGAGCACAGGCAGACAGAGTCGCAGGCAGAGGCTGAGGGAGAAGCAGGCTCCCCACTGAGCATGGAGCCCAATGTGGGACTCGATCCCGGGATACCAGGATCATGACCTGAGCCGAAGGCAGACGCCCAACCAACTGAGCCACCCAGGCGTCCCTAAATAAATGAATCTTAAAAACAACTACACCTCTTCTGTTCAGGTCTATGCATATTCAATATTTAATATATTTTTAATAAATACATGCTGAACAATATGTTTGACATTTACTAAATACCTACTATATAAGGTCATACATTATTAGAACCAGGCCACTGGTCTTTAACACTCTAGATACACAAAGAGGACTATGCTTATTGCCAAAATGGGATTTGAGAGCTGAAAAGAACCTGCAACAATCATTCATTGCATATTGTCTTTGTACAGAACATTATCCTAGAAGCAGAATTTGAAAATGGCTGTGTTCACAGCAATCTTAAAGTCTAACCAGGAAGAAAAAGGAGCATTTTAGGTGGAAAAAAATAAATATATAAGAAATCATCAGAGCCTGGTTACTGACTAGTTTTATGAATTTGATTATACCATACCATAAATCAAACTATATCTCCAATTCCAAAGACTATAAACTGCATCTTTCACTAGAAAATGGAAAGACAATAATGAAGCATTAGGTCCGTCCCCAGACATCACCATTAGAATGACATTTTATTATAGTAAGACCAAAATACCTTAAAGTTACAGATAAAATTCAAAAATACAAAACAAATGTTTACAGGGGTAGGCACTACCCTTATATGATTGAGTAGAAAAGCAGCCTGTCAATAAGTACCAGAAATTGAGACCTAAACATATAGAAACATGGAGGAAATCAAAGGAAGGGGTACAACTGTGTGCTGAAGCTAGAAAAGTAAAGTAACAGCAACTAACACTTACTGAGGGCTAACTAATGTCAGGTACTGTTCTAAATATTTTTCATGTATTAACTCTTTTATTTCTCAAAATGAAATTTATATATTAACGGCCCTATTTTACAGATATAGATATTAAGACATAGAACAATTAAGTTACCTGCCTGAAGTCACACATCTAGTAAAGAGCAGAGCCAGAATCAAAACCCAGGCATCCTACTCCTGAGTAGGCTCTTAACTGCTGTGCTCTAGTTTCTCCCAGAGAATTACTCCAGTAGTTAATAAGGACACAAACGGCTCTCCAAGTTAGCAGTAGCAAAAAGAAGAACCGTACCAAGTCATGCCACTGGGTAACAGCTCCTTGAAGGATGCCCTATCCAATCCTACTACTGTTAAGACTTCCTCTATTACAAAAAACATCCACTCCCACCCTCCCTAAGTCTAAGGTATACTATTTGCTATGTCCCAAATTAAATATATATTTATGGTCTATCAAAATAGTTAAAGAATACTGTGAAAAAGAATTCACAGAAACATTTTATTGTAACAAAGTCAAAGTCACAATTCCCCCATATACCCTTTTCGAAGAAGATCATGACTTTCAAAAGGTCCACTTGCTGAAAGTTCAGTAACCGGAATACTGTCCTTTAACTGAGATCCAAGTCCTCTGGCATTCTACAACACAAATAAAAACACTATTAAATACAAAAAATGTTTTAAAACTCACACTGAACATCTACATAAAAAACACTGTATAAGCACTAGACAAAAAAAATAAAGTCTCTGCCCTCAAAGGGCCCACAGTCTAGACAATTATGATGAGCCTTTACATTATGGTAGAATGATTATACATGGTACATTAAATAATATCAAATTTGGGGGTAGGAAGGATTTCTGATTGATCTCTGAATACTGTCATACTGAAAGGCATTCCAGGAAAAAAGAACATGGGTAAGGGTACATGTCAGGTACTGTTCTAAATATTTTTCATGTATTAACTAATTAATTAATTAATTAATATAATTTAATTATATTAAATTATATTAAATTATATTAAAATATAAATAAACAAGCTATAAGCAGTTTAACATGACCAGCTAACTACATATCAAGTAAACCAAAGCTGGCAAAATGAAAAAAACAAAAAGGCTTAAACATGCAAAGAAATTCAGGTTTTATTCTGAAATTGATAGAGAGCCTCTGAGGGTTATGACAGGATCAGATTTACTCTCATTGGAAAGATCCCTTGCTTAGGTTGGAATGACTAGCACAGAATGAGAATAGTCGAGGACAGAATGCAATTCCTTAATAAAGAACAAGAGAGTGGGATTAATAACAGGCTAGCTAGAAGGTGGTCACAGAAGCCAAGGGTAAAAAAGAGAGACATTCAGAAAGTATTTGGTCTTTAGAACAGGGTACTCCCTATGAAAAATCAATCTAATCAGTATATTATAAACAAAACCAAACAAGAACAAAGACTCCCAGTACATCTGGTATTGGTTTATTATCACCCTACACATCTATACCATAAAAATCTGATCACCAAATATTTATTAAACATCTACTATGTGGCAGGTACTCCGGTAGATGCTGAAGATATACACCTACCTTCCAGGGTTTAGTCTAATGAAGATAAATTAAACAAGCAAATAAATGCAATAAACATTACAACAGGTAAAACACAAAAGCTGACTTCTAATCACTTGTTGCTCAAGTACAATATTGCTGTAATTCTGCAGAAAAATGTAAAACAGTGACAGGTAGTTTGGTATCCCCTTACACTATTCTAGGAGAAACTACTCTGAGAAACCAGCATTTTAAGTTGATTTCTTAATTTATCTGTATTTTATATTGTCAGGTACTTTATCCTGTTCAGAGTTTCTTCAATCTACCATTCTACTTCAGGATCTCACACCTGGGTAACTTTAACAGCACTTGACTGGGTCTTGCTGTCTCTACACTTTTCCATTTTCTACTTCCGCAACTCAAGGTTTTCCTAAAATGTACAATATCTACCACCAAGCTGTTATAAAACCTTTCACTGATTTGCCAATGTCTTCTTTGAAAAATAAGTCCAACAATCTTAGCCTGGAACTCAGGAACCTACAAAACAGACCTCCCTACAGAGAAGTCAAGGTTGATCAGGAAAAGAATCTTGAACCTAATGCAACTGTCTCTAACGTACTATGTGACTATGATCAAGGCACACAATCTCTCTGGCCCCTTTTACTCATCCCTCCAGGTGCCTGAACTCTTTCCACATCTAGAGTTGTATGACTGCAGCTTTCCAAATATATCTCCTGGTACCTTCCCACATAAACATTCTCCTCCTCTCAGACTGTTTTATTATAAAGTAAGAGAAGAAAAGTTTCTTCTACACACAAAGAAAAGGAGAATTCGGATTTCTGGGCTTTACTGTCATGATTTCACCCAATTTCCTTCTGTAAAGTATCAGGATTGGGACCTGATGTTTCTATTAAAGCAGCAGAAGAAAACAAATCTATGAGAAGTTAAGTACCACTAGACCTCAAAGTGTTTATAAGACCTCTTCACAAAGATCAGCAATATTACCAACAGAAATTTTCTAGAGTTAAATGGCCTAGTACCAGAGTCAGAGGCCGCGGCCCTTCAGGAGTCTTTCCCAAGCATCCCAATTTTAAAGTTAGAAAGATAGAAAGTGGGTGGGAGTGGGGAGGATGCACTAACAATACTGACAAATGGGGAGTAACAAACGTCTCGATTTTTCCCCCTCCAACTTCTGGCATACTACAGGTTCCCCAAAATGTCTGTAAAGGTGAAAGATAAAAAGGAGACTTTATAGCTGGGTTTGTTAGCAAAGCAGTTCCGCGGCCTGGGGTGAGTGAGGAATTCGAGGGCTTTGGGCCCCCAAGGTTTGCCCCTCATGGGAAGGGTAGTCAGTGGGCGACGCCGCAGCACACACCACAGAACAACGCTGCACTTTCGGATCTGTCCTTGCCAGCTCCGCGCCAACTATGGGGAGGGGGCCGGGGCGTGCTGGGGGTCTCCGGGTTGAGAGGGCTCACATCGAGAGAAACAAGTGAAGTAAATTAAGCCGAAGCGCTGCTCGCGGGACGGGTGCCGGAGCCCAGCCCGGACGACAGCCACGAAACCCCCAACCCCGTGACTCGACAGATCATGGCGCCCGAGGCCGGCCTCATCCTCCCGCCGCCGCCGCCACCCCGGGACGAGATAGGAGGAGGCGGCCCATTTCTCCCGGGCCAGGGTCCCGAGCCCGCCGGGAACTCAGGTCGCCCAGGGTCTCACTCACCATCTTCACTTGCTCTGTGAACAGCCTCTCAGCCCCGTTACCGTCAGTCGGCCCCGCCGCTCACTTCCGTTTCCGGGGTTCCCCCCCCCCCATCCGCCGGAAGTGCGTCCGTCCGGGCAAGGAAGGAAGGAGGGCGCGGGGCGCTGGGAGGGAGCCGCGCGGGTCCGTGGCTCCCACGCTTGAAGTCCCGAGGGACCCGGGGCCAAGGGCGCAGTAAGGGTGTGGGCTGGGAGGAAGGCGGGGTCGGGACGAGACGTGCCGGAGGGGAGGGAAGACGAGGACCTCCGCTTGATTAATTAACATCTGCCGTTGGTACAGTATTTGAAGATGGGCAATGTGCTTTGGTAGATGCGTCCCCTTATTTAATACACAAGCTCGTTAAAGTGGGTACTACATTTTTCGTGAGGGTAAACGAAGCATAGGTGGGATGAGTAATTTGCAGTCTTTGAGCTAGTAAGGCAAACGTAGAACACGAGGCTTTGCCAGTTTATTTTTACAGATCATATATCAAAGACCTGCTATGTTCAAAATCCTGTCCCAAGGCCAATAATACAGAAATGAATCTGGCTGATGTGGTTCCTGGGCTAGAGAAGCAGCGAAGTTGTTGGGGGTGGGGGGAAGCGTGACATCAAATGAAGTATGGTTGATAATTACAGACATATATTGGGCTTTTCTTTATAGCAACACAATTCTAAGTGCTTTACATGAACTATCTCCTTTAATCCCTTCAATCATCTTATGAAGTATGTACACTGTTGTCTCAATTTTATGGTCAAGGAAAGCAAGACAAAAGAGGTTAAATATACTGAAGAACCCATAATCCATTATCATAATATCACACTGTGTTGCCTTCCAAATATAATGTGATAAAATGGACTCATACTCTGTCACCGTATAATGGAGGTGACTTAAGGAATCCTCGGGCTGATAGTGAAAGGATAGAGTGAACTCGTTTGAGGTAGGAGAATATATGGAAGAACATCACTGGCATTTGCTTAGGGAAAAAAAAAAGTGGGGAAGGAGGTATGTAACGCTGAAGTTCAGAAAGTAGGGTAGAGAGTAGTGGGAGATGAGGCTGTAAGTAGATGGAGGCAAGTTTATTATGGAGGCCTCTGTGCCAGTTAAGGATGAGGCTATAAGAAGCCATTGAAGGTTTTCTAAGGAGGGAGGCTAAGGTCAGATATGTTTTGTATATCTACAACCATGGTCCTACAACCTTGAAGTTCCAGGGTAGTCCAGATTTCAAATATTCTGCACTGTTGTCCTTATCTTCTGTCTCTCAATATCTACCTTGAGATGTGAGTTTGAATGTTTTACTTGCATCTTATTTCTTATACTCAGTTCCACCTAAGGAGAAATTTTAAAACTGCAGCTCTTAAAAAGAAATCACTTTAATGTTGATTCTTCACAATTGAGTTATTAAATTTTTGTTGAGCTTATGATTCTGGAGCTAAAGAGAAGAAAAAGCCATTTCCCTATACTTGGGATGCTTTTATTTTCCTTAGGGAATAGACATGGTAAATTAATGTGGTAAATGCTTAATAGAGAAAGGGAGTTGGATCAGGAAGTGGTTGGGAACAGGGAAAACAGGCTTTTGAGGAAGAGGAAATGTGGAAAGGCAGAGATTTGCCTAACGGCATGTTGTAATATGGACAATGAAGTTTTCCACGTGTTTAGAGTTCTGGGGGAGTAGGGGAACAAGATGAAATGAGATTGGGGGGATTGGTGGGGGTAAAATAAAGGGCCTGTATGGTGTGCTGAAGTTTGGGGCTTTTTCTTTTTTTCTTTTTCTTTCTTTTTCTTTTTTCTTTCTTTCTTTCTTTCTTTTTTTTTTTTTTTTTTTTTTTTTGAGAAAATAGGCAGTAATGGAGGTCTTTTCACAAACATTTGACATTAAAAAAAATTCTGATGGCAGCATGAAGAGTATACTGGAATTGGGAGAAACTAGGAACCAGGATATCATTTAGAGTATTGCAGTAGTCCACAGAAGAGATAGGATAGAAAGGTATCATAGCACATTGCAGAGACTTTGAGAAGCAGTGAAAAGTAGTAATGGACCTTAAGAAATACTAGAATTCATGAGGCAACCATTGGAAGGAGATCCTGCTGTGGAGACAAAAAGATGGTCAGAGAGGTAGAAAGAAAATCAAAGTGCCATCAAAGAATCCAAAGGGGAAGAGAGTGTTGAGAGGTTGAAAAGTAGTTCAAAAGAGAGGTTAGAAAGTAGTTTTAAAATAGCTTTAAAAAGTTCATAAAGTTTCGAAAATAGATCTTTAGTGACTGATGTGAAGGTAATTTCAGTAGTAAAGCAAGGAGAAAAATTGCCTTCTTTTGAGCCATATAAACACACCCATGTTTATATCTTTCTAAAAAGGTTTATTACAGCATTAACTAATACAAGTCAGTGTTGAGTGTGCTAGTTTAAAGAATTAAGTTAGATTGGATATTAGAATGGTTTAATATGTTTGCTTAGGCTCTATGGAGAATAGACTATTAGTAATTGTTAACATCTGCTATATGTCAAGCCCTATTCTTAGTTCTTGACATACTTCATTTCACTTAATCTTCAATTACTCTGTGAGGTAGATACTACTATCAACCACATTTTACGTAAGAAGCAAGCTCATGTGCGTTGTAGCCCAACAAGTACTCTATTTTACCTTACTTCTTGTTGTCTTCCTTGACTTTACTCTTAAGCTCTTCTGACAAAAATATTTGTTGAATGCATGTTGTTGAACATAGCAGAAGAAACCCATCTAGAATGCAGGGTGAGAACAGGTGAATGAAGACAGCCAGGCAACAACTCAGGCTGGTGTAAACGCATGCTGAGTTGAAAAATGCCCGTGGCATTGGTTGAGTCTTCATCCCTTCAAAAGTAAAGAAAGGATGGGGTAAAGCAAATGTATGCATTTCATTGTTTTAAAAGATTTTACTTATTTATTGAGAGAGAGAGCCTGAGCAGGGGAATGAGGGAGAGGGAACCCAGTGTGGGGTCTGATTCCAGGACCCTGAGATCATGACCTGAGCCAAAGGCAGATGCTTAACTGATTGGGCCGTCTAGGTACCCCACCAATGCATGCATTTCGAAGAACAGGTAGTTGAGTGATAAATGATCAAGCAGTAAAGTGGGGAGCAAGAAGTTGTGTTGACATTTTTCTTGCTCTGTAAATTAGGGAAATTTAAGATTTGTACTACTTTGGGCGAAAGAGTAGACACCACTGGACAGGCTTTTGAGGAAAGTAGCATCGATTATGAGAAACCTAGCTTTCTTAGTTAGGGCTAAGATGTGGGAAGAGAACTTGTGGCAAATTAAAAAAAATACTGGGAAATCTAGTTGCAATAAACTAGGGAAGTCTAGTTGAATGATTCAGGGGACTTAGTGGCAGGCTTTCTGAAAGGAAGACCAGTGAGTAGCAGGTTCAAGGGATGAGCATTTAATGGTACCAGAGGGGTACAGGGAGTAGAGAAGTCAAGGTCCTCTCCTTTATGCACTTGATGTGACCCGTACACTACAATAACCTTTAGCACTCAGTTGTGTTTATCTATTTCCACATCTATTTCTTTTCAACAAGCTTCTGCACTCAGGGGCTATCCTTACATATTATTGTATCTGTATCTGGCACACAGAAAGAACCAGTAAATGTTTATTGAATGAAAAATGTGGGAAAGAGCAGATAAATGGATAGTTGTGGCTAATAGGCAAGACTAGGCTGGCTCATATGGTTGGGAAATAGGTTGAGGTAGACATGGGTGATCCAAGAAAACTTATTTGAAGAACTTTCCAGAAGCATCTTCCTGGGCCTGGAGCCCAACCTTAAAGCTCAGCACTATAAGCTAAGGCCCTAAATCCTTATCTGGTTCCAATTATCCCCTTTCCCTCAGGGCTAGACTCAACAAAAACTGGCACCTTACCAAAAAGTCTACAATTCTGACATACACTAGCAGTAAGAGCCACAGATGTGTGTGTGTGTGATGTCCCCCGCCTTCCTCTCCCCCTCCCAGCTACAGATTCTGGCCAGTCCTGCTTGGTCTTTTTTCTTCCTGGTCTCTGACAGTTCTTAACCAGATGGATTCTTTTGAGCTCTGAAAGCAGGATGGGGGGATCTGGAGAGGGTCAGGCGACAAGGGTTGGTGACAATGGTTTTCCCTCAAGAGTTTGGTATAAAAGGATGAGAGCTCCATTTTTTTTAGAAAGATGGAAGGGAGAATTAATTAGTGTAAAAACTTTGTAAAATATATTCAAATTCTAAGGTACCTATTGTATGGCTGTGTAAGTTTCAGATACTATGTTCCCCTATGAGGTTGCGGAGGGAATTTTTGTGAAGAGGTGGTACAAATCTCAACTAATAAGGAAGTTACTATGTCTCAGAGGACCAGAAAAGAATATATAAATTATAAATAGTACACCCAACCCTTCTTTAAATGATCTAAATTCTTGCAGTGTTGGGGAAGGCTCAATGTGCTTAATTTCAGATAAATCATATTTACACATCTGTGTTTGCAAGTCCCTTCATAAGTGTTAAGGGATGGAGAAATACTTTACACCCAGTTTATTTGACAGACCCTTTTCTTTAACCCTAAGAGATGAGTGTTTCATATTTCTCTTGAAATACTTGATGACTATGATTTCAGATGGAGTTGCTTTTAAAAGAGTGTCCTCTGAATATGAAAAGCTGGGTTTTGAGAATAAGTGCTAAAGTAGACTCTTGAATCCAGGTGTTTTGTTTTACTATTTTACATCTGCATTGCATCAGACAAAGCAGAGGTTAGCATTCCATTTTCCCTGCTTTTGTAGCCCCATTTCAGGTCTGTGCTTTTGAAAAAGTGGTTTATACTTTCATCATAAAGAGTCTTTATTTATTCATCTATAGAGCATACAATTTTAGATTATATGCAACAAAATTTAAATTTGAGCCCCATTTCTATTACCCTTCATTTACCAGCAGCCCACATGTAGAAGCATAGAGTCACGTTAATACTAGCTAAAGAAAAATTTACTTCAGAAGGCAGATCTGTGAAAAACATCATATAGTTGCATATAGAGCCAAGTATAATATACATGTACACTGGATATTTTCGATTCAGATGCTGTTTT